GGGGGTGGTCAGGTGATTCATTGATGTGTTGGGTCGTTGGGTGTTGAGTTTATCCCAAGGTTGAAAGGGCTAACATTTCTGAGGCTTAGGCCCAAAGACCATGCAGTGCGAGAGCTTCGCGGGTGTTTGGATTTAAGAAGGTGGTAGGGTCAGAGTCTGGGATTAGGAGGAGGGTTCCGGGTTTGGCTCCAGGGCCGTTAGAGGTTACGGGTTGATGGTTTGATGCTGGCGGCAGTTTTGTTTCATCAAGCTCATGGACGCAAAGCTATTAAGCTGCCAGCGCACTATGCTTATGGCTTGTAGCTTGCACATTTTTGGGATTGTGAGGAAACTGAATAGGACATATGCGATGTTCAGGCTAACGATCGCAGCAATGAGGTTGATGGCGGTGACCAAGGTGATTGTAATCGTGATGCGGTGATCACGATGTTTGCAAGGGTGGATGATAATGGTAAAGAAAAGCGCGTTGACGACGTTGCTGCTCCTCATAATTAGGTTGCTGTTGTTGATGATGGCGATGGCATTGGTGACGTTACATGACCTTCCTGTCGTGGTGTTGTCCTTTGTCGTATTCCAAGCACATGTTGCCATTTCGACGAGGAGGAGGAAGGCAAGGGATTCTACCGCGAGAAATCCACGAAGCACGTCTGTGTGTTCATAGCAGCATGATAGTTCGGGTTAATTACAGGAACACATCAGTGTACGAGGGTTGTACAAGGGTTTTTTGCATGGTTCTTTCTCGAGCTGCAGATGTTAGTAGCTTCTTATCGAAAACCTTCATTTTCCTCCCGAGGAAAAACCCTAAACCTAAACCCTAAACCCTGAATCTTAAACCCTAAACCGTTTGTGTAACCAGGACTTTGGAGTGCGATGCCGAGGTTGAGGAGAGGCAGCTGAAAGGCGCAGCTTTGCACGAGAGGTGTACCTAGGCGAGCTTCAGGGATAGCCAAGCTTAGGCTTCACGGTATCGGATTCAAGGAGGTTTGGGAGATTCAGGATTCACTTGGCATTTGCCGCAAGCGAGTTTGTTCGTATGTTTTTTTGGGGCGCGCGAACGCATTGATATGAGGCTTGCGCTGACAGCGGACGATCTGACACTGGCAGTGCGGCAAATGAAATTAAGGTCCTGTACTGAAAGCAGTTAGGATTCTGCTGTGGTGCAGGCACACCTTATGATCCTTCCGTTGAAGGCATCAACTCTACTCCCGTAAGCCCTATGCATAACAAGCCGTCCTTCTGAGGGATGTGGCTCATGTCACAGGATGCCATGCACTTCGGTGCTCTGCCGCCCTTGTGTCGACGTCTGTACTTGGAAACCACTCCCGAACCGTTTTGCCCGTCAATGTCTGCTGCCTGCGAGTCTTGCAATGTTTACATGATCCAGGAGTTTCCTCTAAAATCAAAGCATGTGGCAATCCTTGACACAGGCCCTACATACGTATAGTGTAGAAGAACAGCAACATATATATATATATATATATATATGTGTGTGTGTGTGCTGTATACCTACATATATATATATATATATATGTGTATGTCTATCTGTACATATGTATATATATATATATATATTATATATGTATATGTATCTCTATCTCTATCTATATCTGTATCCGTATCTATATCTACACATAGATAAATATATACATATGTGTATCTATATATATATATATATGTGTGTGTTCTTGAAACGCTTCAACTTTCGGACAGTTGTGGTGGGTCTCAAGTAGTTCGAGGCAGGCATGCCTTGCGCACAGAAGTTTGGGCGCACACGCGGCTTTTTGCTTAGTCTTTGATGGCTCCCCGAACCCCAAAATGAACGCCTTCTGCAACCTAAGCCCTGTAAATCCAAAAGACTTTGAACCTTTTGCAGGCTACGTGGGCGAGTTGTCACAAAGGATGGAGGAAGGGCACTGTTGATGGATGGTTTCGGGCTTTAGGGTTTGGGATTCGATCAGTAACCTGCAGTTTACAACTGGGTTCAGGATTTTTGATTCGGGTTTCCTTGACATCTTTGAGTTCTTGTAAGGATTCCGTTAGGGGTTGGCAAGGGTACGATGGCACTTTTGAGCTTTGGGGCCAAGGCTGCGTCCCTGACCGTGGTTTACTGTGGGCGGTTTAGGGTTTAGGGCTTAGGGTTTAGGGTCAGAACATATTGCTTTTTGCAACTGTCTGCCGAGCTACCTATCTGTCATAGTACCAAGCCAAGGCCGCACATCTATGCCTATCTGTAGACTTTGGGTGGCACGCGCTTAACTGTCGGGTGGCCTAGCCGGTTGGAAACTCGGATGTCGCATGGCCGAATAAGCAAGCCCGCCAAGTGTTTTTAGGATTTAGGGTTCAGGGTTTATGGGTTTAGGGTCCCATCTCACACCCCAACTCCGGTAGAACCTGTGAGCCAACAAAACCGCAACCCGAGATGACCATCGGTGCACTTAGTGCTACGACGATAGCCGTACTTGCTTGTGAACCCCGCGCAGGTGATGACCCCCCCGTCCCTCTGAAGCCCAAAGCCTTGTTTAGGGGTTTAGAGTTTAGGGTTTAGCGTGAAAGCCCAACCCCCGAAACATGTCCAAGCCACGTGAATCCCCTATCAAACCCCGATGAACCCCCTCAGGAGTTGTCAGAAGAGATTAACCAAAAGGGGGTGCAAGAGAGCCACATGGCCGAGCCTGCTGCAGAAGGCCTGGGATCGGCAATCAGAGCTTAGGGTTTGTGCTAGGGTTTATGGTTTATGGCATATAAGGTTTCAGGTTTAGGGTTTAAGGCTTTTAAGGTTTAAGGTTTAGGGTTTATACCCTAAGCCCCAAACCTCAACCCCGGGTTTGTTTCAGGACAGATAGTACCCGGGCTCTGGTTGCATATACATGTGTTTGTGCAGTTGCTTGTATGTCTTTTGAGCCCCAGCCCTTAATCCTCTAAAGCCCTAAATCCGGATCGTCCGCAGTGATTGCTTGCATAAACCTCTCAACCATTAAGCCCCTATAAGCCTCTACACCCCGAAACTCTAAACTCCAGTGCCTCTATGGATCCGGAACCCTTCGCTCACGGAGCACCAAAACCCCTACACCTCAACCTCCTCGCCTGGCCGTCGCAGGGAATGAAATTCAGCCAAGCCAGTCCGAAGTGGTGGCAGAGCTTGCAGGCTCCAGTTGCGGGGTTTGTTTTTTTGGGGGGTTCTTTAAGGGTTAGTCTAAGGGCTCTATACGGGTTACAAAACGGGTGCTGCAAGGGTTCCCCTAAAGGGTTGTAGAAGAATTCCTATAAGGGCTCTAATTACAAGGGCGACTATACGCTCTTTTTAGGGGGTTCAGGGGTTTGAGAGGTTTAAGGGTAAAGGGGTTCAGGGACTTAGTAGGGATTGAGGGCTTCTGGGAGTAAGGGGTTTAAGTTTGGGGTTTCTAGTTTACGAGTGCAGGAGGTTAGGGACGTAGGGGTTTACGGGTTTGGTGAGTTTAGTGTTGAGGATTTCGGGGTCGAGGGCTCGGGTTTTGGGGCTTCAGGGATTTCGGGGCTGAGCGTTTAGGGATTTTTAAGGGCTTGCACTGTTTGTTACCGTTGGCTCTGGGAGTCTTCAGCTTTCACTGCACTCGGCTGTTTTACATTGTGCTATGCCATGTTATTCTCCATCATTCTATCATGTATTATACTGCTGTACATTGTACTGTGTTCTAGTCTAGTGTAGCTTATTCTTCTATATTACATCACTCAGTATGATCTCATAGGTTGAATTGTTGTGTTTTAGCCTGTTTTGTAGGCGTCGATCTTCGGTGTGGCATCTATTCGTGCACAGTGTGGGTGAAATCAGCACATCCTCCCCACGAGCAGCCACGAGCCCTCAGCTCAATGGTTTCTGGCTTTTGCGAGGGCATGTAATTCAACCCGTCAGGAGAGAGCTTTCTGGGAGGGTAGAAAAATACTAGTGACTTGACTAGTAGCCAAACCTTCGTACACCATCCCCATGTGTATATGTACAACAGGATGATGCACGCCAAAGCCCTGGCCCAACTTTAGACTTGAGGCCCCCTGTATTCGACTCCCCCCCTCTCACAGGCCGGACCTTCGAAAGCAGACCTTAGCCCAAAAACCCCCTACCGACAAACCTGCGCAAAGTGCAACATAAGGTCCTAAAAGTCATTGCCAATACTATTTTGGTCTGTTGGTATCACCTAGTGGAGTGCCGAATGACCGGTGCGGGGGAGCGAGAGGAGGGGCCGCATTTCAACTTGTACTGTAAGAAAGATAAACTTTAGGGGTTCAGGGGTGTAGGGTTTAGGGTCTAAGACTCCATGCCCTCAGACCACTAGGCTCTAAAGCCCAACTTTAAGTTAAAACCCTAAAGCTGTAAACTCAGGGGGGCCCGAGCGACCGCCTCTGCCATATGCCTTCAGCGAGGGTGGTATTGGACATCCTGAGGCCGAGTTAGGCTTTAGGAACAGCAATGGGGCTTAAGGATTTGGGGCTTAAGGGTTTTGGAGTTTTAGGATTTACTGTTTAGGCTTCGTGTCAGGAGTTTCAGAGGTTTAGGGTTTCGGGGTTTAGGGTTTCGGGACTTGTCGCTTAGATGTTTCGGAGGGTTGGGTAGGGCGTTAGGATTTAGCAGTCCTTTATAAAGGCTTCCATAGTATAGAGGTGCGGTAGCGTCAGGTTTCTATACGGGTTCCACAACGGGGTCTGGAAGGTGTCCAGAGGGGTTTTAGATGGTTTTGAAGTGGAAAGGGTTTCCGAAGGGCTCTAACTAGAAGGATTTGTTTACGGGATCCATAGGGGTCCTTTAAGGGTTTTGGGGTTTTGGGTCTCAGGGTTATCGCTCCGGCAGATTTCAGGGTTTGGAGTTCTAAGCAAACCGTTGTGGACATTTAGGAGGGGGCAAGGCCTGATCCAACAAGGACGAACTTCGAGTGGACAAAACGGTGACGGTGGAAAACGTTTGCGGTGATCCTCTGCAGCCCTAAACCCTAAACCCTAAACCCTAAACCCTAAACCAAAACCCTAAACCCTAAACCCTAAAAATCTGAACCCTGAGTACCATTTAGGGCCTGGGGTCCAGAGCAGCAAGAATTTCCCTGCACCCTGAAACCCGGAACCCCGAACCCGAAGCTCCCGAAGGAAGCCGTGAACCCAAAGATCCCTCATGGAGCCCTAAACCCTGAAAACCTAACCTAAACCCCAAATCCCTAAAAATCTGAACCCTGAGTACCACTTAGGGCCTGGGGTCCAGATGTTTTTTTTGCTTGTTGAAAGTAGATAAAGGGCTCCTTGGGAAAAGCAGGGAGAAGGTCTAGCAGTCCTAGTTGGCTACGCAGGAGTACACCGAAGAACTAATATTGCGGGGTTGCGGCCTTTGGTGGCTAATGAAAGAGCTGCTGCCGCACTACCCGCGAATGTGAAGAAGAAGCGGGATGAGTGGATTGTTGTTTGTTCTGCTTGGTTTGGGTAGCCTGAGTATCAATGAGCCTGCTATGCCCACGGCTGCCTGGTTTTAGGAAGCTTACACATTGATAGCTGGTGAGTGAATATAAGACCCCTTAGCAAAGCTATGGTTGACTTTGTTCTACGGGCTATAAGAGTTGGACTGTCATCCACCTGACTCTTACTTCACGTGGTAGCTTCTTGAACTGTAGATGTTGCGATCTAGTCCTATACACAAGCCTAATTACCCAGAATACGCATCTTTACTCACTCCATTCTGCTAGAGGGAAAGGAATCTGAGGGAGTCTAGAATCTCACGACAGTTCCAGTTTAAGCCTGGCGCTGCATCCTTCATGAAAGGTTTGCCGCCGACCGTGCGTGTACTTCAACAGGCAATGTCGGGAGAGTTGACATCAGTCTGAACATGTTGAGATCTCATCAGACATGTAGAAAGCAAGTTCGGCAAAAGGGCCTCCATCGACTGATGATGGTGGTGCTGATGATGATGAAGATTACGGTGATGTTTGTGATGACGGGGATGACGGGAATGACCGTGGTGGCGGTGGTGGTGGTGATGATGATAATGATGATGGCGGTGGTGATTGTGCTGACGGGGATGACGATGATTAGACTGTGCTGGTGGTGGTGATGATAATGATGATGATGATGATGATGGCGTGATTAGGATGATGACGACGCTAACAACGACCACCGACAGCGATTGCGATGACGGGGGAGCATCCCGATGGTTACGATGGTCACGACGGTGTCGACGAAGATGAACAACAAGATCGCAACGAGGAAGAGCTGGCGGCAGTACTGACGACGGTTATGACAATCATGATGTTGTTGCTGATGATGCTGGTAATGATGAAGCGGGCGATGATAGTGCCGCTGCTGAAGCTGCTGTTGTTGATGATGATGATGATGTGATCAATGAAGATGATGACGATGATGATGACTCGGGTAATGATGATGGTGATGATGACTCTGGTAATGATGATGGTCGTGATGCCCGTGCATACAGCGACTTGTTTCTGCTACTTCCAGACGCATCGGAGTACAGAGCATTATTGCAGATCCTTGGTGAGTTTTGTTTATGATGATGCGTTATCGTGATAGGCCATACACACTTTTGACACAACTGCTGGCTACAGCCTGGCTATCGCAAGCTCGCTCACCCTGCACCCCAAACCCTCAACCCTGAAGCCCAAACCCTAAAGGCCCAAAGCATCCTAAAGCCCTAAACCCAAGCGGCAAACCCAGAACCTCAAACCCTCAAAGCCGCAAAGTGCATCTAACAAAACCCAAGAGAGAAGAGTAGGTTTCCTAAGGTTCAGCATCGCAAGGTCTGGGTTCAGACCTGACGGTGTTTGCTATGATGAGGGGTTTTGGTGCACAGCTTTGGGCTTTAGGGTATTGCAGTTTAGAGTGTCGGGCTTCAGGGTTTGAGGGTGCCGGTGGGGTTGGGGATCCAGGGTTTAGTGAGCATCGTGTTTGGGATGGTGCCGTGGGGCTTAAGATAGGTTTGAGGGGGTTAGGGTACAATCTATATATATATATATGTAAATGGTTTAGGGTTTAGGGGTTCGGAGTTTGGGGCTTAAGACGTTTAAGGTGTAGCGTAGACTCAAAGTTTGGAATGACTGACAACCGAAACAGGATGCTTGACCGAGTATCAGGACTTTCCCAGCAGTATATTTCAATGCTACAAGGAAGCGTTGTGAACTGATTTTTATTCTATCTCCAAGACTGGCAGTTCGGGCCGACTGAACCTGACTGAAGCCTGGCCAAATTCATCCTAAACAACTTAGACCCTTAAACCCTAAACCCTAAACCCTAAACCCTAAACTGAACCCCCAAAATGCCTCCTGCTCGTGCAGGGGATTTTGTCACAGCGGTGCTGCCTGCAGGGCACCGAGAGAGAAAGCGCCGTTTGCAAGACTGAGAGTGGTACCTAGAGCACTGAGTTATGAATGCCCGTCCCCTACCAGGGCTTCTGGATTTTAGCAGGTATTTTCATATTATCAACCTTCCCTTCACAAGGGTTTGGGCGAACTCTTACTCTTGATACTGAAGTTTGTTAACGCCATCGGAAAAAACAGGGGTTTGACTAACCCTTGGTCCACAGAATATTTTAGCTGCATGGAGAATGCCCTTCTTCGGTACTAATTACCTACCTACTGAACCACTGAACCACTGAAGTCTGAACCCTAAACCCTAAAACCCCAAGCTAAGCTCACACTTAACCCTACGCCTCCCTTCCTGTAAGAATCTCTTGCTTGTCTCCTGGCCGGAAGCCATAGGGTTTAGGGTTTAGGGTAACTTAAGGAGTGTGCTGGTTTGGGGTTTATGGGCTTCGGGGTAACTTAAGGAGTACTTGATTCAGGGGCTTTGGAACCTCTCAAGGCCACCCGTTTGCTTAGGCGGCTACTGCCATCACCAGCACCCGGACCGCGAAGCCAAGCTGGACAAGAAGCAGCGTCTTACCCTTGACGAGATCACGAAGGCTCTCGCCACTCTTCTTTGCAGAGCATGGGTCATACAGTAAACCAGTTCGCGCTTCAGGCTTTGTGCTTCGGGGTTGTGTGCTTGTCCACACCCCGAGCCCAAAATTCTGACCCGTGTGCCCCAACTCTAGCTAGATGCTTCCGAGTGCAGGTCATTCTTATACTACGGAGAATGTGTGGTGTCAGATCATCCCAGTGAACCTCCGTCCTGCAGCCCGAAACCTGATGCCTCAAAATCCAAACCCGAAAGTAGCTGCAAAGACTGTGCAAAGCTCAGACGAGCTCACACTGGCTTCCGGGTGCCACGGTTCAAGGCATCAAGCCTTTAGGGTTTTATAGAAACCCTGGAGCATTCCTCTCAAAAAGCCTAGGGCATTTATTCCCGCAGCCTTATGCGAACTCTGAACCCTCAACTCTAAACACAAAAACACAAAAAACACCCTAAGCCCTAAACCCTCAAAGCCGAAACCCTGAAGCACGAAGCAGGCACAGCTAATCGCTTTGGTGTTGCACTTCCTGCGGGAACGTGCAGAGGAGTCCGGGCCCCAAGTCTCTGTGGGCTCTATGCTGGGTTCTTCTTAGGGAAGTTCTTTAAGTCACTTAAATTACCATAAAACGGAGACCAGAATTTTGTATTACTTATAGATATTAACTATGGTAACTCAAGCAGATTTGCATAGCAAGAGCCCGCTATGGTGTTTATTGTTTGTGGCCTACGGTTGGTTTTAGGAGTTTAGGTTTTGCGGCCTACGGTTGGTTTTAGGTTTGGAGTTTAGGGTTTGATGTTGGGGTTTAGGGAGGCGGGCGAAAGTTTAAGGTTGTTTGCTTTTGTTGGTTTGAAACCTTGGTGGTTCCTGGGTTCTTTCCCTAAGGCTTTACGGTTTTGCTGGGCCCCTGGCAGGGTTGGCCCAGGCCGCCCGGTCCCTTAGTCCTCTGGTCCCTGGCCCCCCGGTCCCTAGTCCCCTGGTCCTGCGAGTCCCCAACCCGCTCCGGTCTCGTTTGGGCCACAGGTTGCTGTCCGTGAAAAGTTGGGGGCGGGTTTAGCAAATGAGATATACGATGGACCGGAATCGCGAAACGAGGAGGCATGTTTAAGAGAGAGAGAGAGAGAGATATATATATATATATATATACCTATATATATATATATATGTATTAGGAGGAATGCGATGAACCTGGGTCGCCAAATGAGCGGGCGTGTTTAGGATATAGGTTGAACCGAAATGGCCCAACGGGGGGAGGGGAGCGTGTTGAAGCACCGGAATCGCCAAATGAGGGTGCGTGCTTAAGAAGTTTGATGAAACAGAATCGCCAAATGGGGGTGCTCGTCTAAGATATGATGAGTTGGAATCGACAAATGATTTGGCGTGAGTAAGACTGATGCTCAGCAAAAACAACAACAGCAAGAACAGCGCTAACACAATCTATCTAGAGAGCCTGTCAATTACATGTGTGTGTGTGTGCACGGAAGGCAAAGTCACGGCTGCCATCTCTGGTTTCTAAGTTTGCGCACGAACCATGCTGGTTCACACATGAGAAGACCTGCCAGGCATGCATCAAGACACCATCGACACTGCTTCACACATAATCATCTCCCGTCAGTGTCTTGTGCTGCTTTGTCAGCCCCCCGCCCAGCTTGTTTAAGCCGTCCTTCCAGCAAAAACAGCACGCGAAGGGATCCTTTCAAAACCCTTGATACACAAATTGTGGATTTCGGATGCAAATGGGGGGGGGGGCAACCCCCCGGTCTCTTTTTTAGGCCTGCCGCATTCACGGGTCCGTGAAAAGTTGGGGGCGATGAGCAGTTTAGCAAAGTGTAGAATTGGAGTTGGCAAACGAGGGGGCGTGTTCAAGACATATGATGACGGTGCGCGTTTAAGATATGTGATGAACCTGCGTCGCCACATGAGGGGGCGTGTTTAGGATATGATGAACCGGAATCGCCCAAAAGGAGGAGGGGGTGTTTGAGATATATGATGAACCGGAATCGCCACATGTGAAGCATGTTTAAGGTATCTTATGATGAACCGGATGCGCCACAGGAGGGGGCATAATATATATATATATATACCAACATATAATACAAGCGATGAACCGAAAGCGCCATTGGAGGAGGCGTGTTGAACAAAAATGATGAACCCTAATCGCAGGATGAAGGGGCGTGTTTAAGATGACTGTATGAAGGGCTTGGATCGCCAATGAGGGGTTGGTTCAAGAAATATGATGAACCGGAAACGCCAATGGGGGGCGGGGGGCGTGTTCAAAATTTATGATGAACCGGACTCGCCACATGAAGGGTTTGGCGTGTCTACGAGATATGACGAACCGGAGTCGCCCCTGCAACTTGCAATCCCCCAGTATAGCTTGAGGCAAAACAGGACCTTGCAATCTGTAATTCCCCAATAGTTTGACACAAAGGAAGACCTTGCAAATTGTAATTCCCGAATGGATTGACACAAGACAAAAGATTCGAAACTATATTCCCCCAATAGCTTGGGGCGAAACAAAGCCTTGCAAATTGTTTATAATTCCCCACGAGTTTGACTCAAAGGAAGACCCTGCGAATTGTAATTCCCAAATAGCTTGACACAGACAGGAGCCTGGAAATCGTAATCCCCCAACAAGTTGAGGCAAAACAGGAGGACCTTGCAAATTGCAATTCCCCAATAGCTTGCCGCGAAGCAAAACCCTGCCAATTGTAATTCCCCGATAGCTCGGCACAGGACATGGGCCTTGAGATTGCAATCTCCCAATAGCTTGATGCAAAACAGGAGCACGTGCTGCAGGTCACAATGTGTGCAAGCCAACGTTAGCAAAGGACACGAGAGACCGCCAGCGTTAGGAAAAGAACCCTCTGCCAACCGTGGTGACCCTGGAGAGTTCTGTGTTCGTTTGTAGCCTTTTGCTCGATCACCTATGTTTGCTGCGGTCTTGTGTCGTTGTGTGTGTGTGTGTGCGTGTTTTCGGCTGTTGAAACACAGAGGTTCAAGTTCAAGTTCTTGGCGGGCATGAAGCAGAGTTGTCGGACGGTGTCGCTGAGGTCATTGCAAATAAATAGTAATGTGGCGCTGAGTTCAGCCCCAACAAGGCCCAGCAAACATTTTTCGGCACCCTGAACAGTGGTCTCGGGGCTGGTGGGGCAATAGAGAGCTGTGCGGCTGGTGCATCCTGGCACTGCGGAGGGAAATAAAACCAATAGGATCTTCAGAATACTTACAGTAGCATAGCACAGTAACAGTTCAATAGCAGCACAGCAGCACAGTAGTAGTACAGTGCTCGTACAGCAATAGTACAGCAGTAGTACAGTAATTTACAGTAGTAGTACATCAGTAGTACAGTAGCCGTAGCAGACGTAGTACCACTACTACTACTACTACTACTACTACTACTACTACTACTAGTACTAGTACTAGTAATAGTACTAGTAATAGTATGAGGGTTTCGGATCGAGCCCGGTCGGAGTACCGTGAATAGCCGAAAGCCCCAGTGCGCTAGGACAGCGCACGCAAAGCACAGTGCGATCACCTACCTGGCACCGGCGGGAACGCAAACGTCGTTCCGTTGCCAGACGAGCCATTTGGAAGGCTCGCTCTAACCACCAGCGGCCTCCGAGGAGAGCCGTTCGCCTCTTGGAGGCGCACCACAGTCGGCCAGTCTACCAGGATCACATGGGTGGACGAGGCAAATGGGGACGTGGACCAAAGCAATCGGACTACTATGGTGGTGGTGGTGGCTCGCAAAAGTGGAAGCTGTGGGAAGGTGCAGCGAAGTCTGCATGGTCCCCGAGAGGCCGCAACCGCGACGAGGATGCCGGGCGGTACGACCACACCCAGCTCGACGACGAGTGGACTCAGCCAGGCCAGGCCAGGGACTACGGGGGCCATGGCACTGCACCGGCGAACGAGACTACAGGGATCCTACAGCAGCTGCAGAAAGCACTAACTGCAGCTCGGAAGAGCGACATCCGCATCCGGAAGGCTGCCGAGGAGACCGATCTCCGCAAGAGGCAGTGGATCCAGTGGCAGAAGGACATGAAGGCCAAAGTCCTACGGCAAAAGACGCACTTCGAGCAAGATCTCGAGAGACTTGCCCGGGACAAGGAGCAGGCGGAACAGCAGGGTCAGATGGCCATTCAGCAGGTGAGGGCGGTGCTGAGTGGCTCCGCGCCTACTCAGGCTCCCGCCGAAGTGCAGCAGGCGGCTATGGAGCTTGCATGGGACCAGATGATGGGGACAGAGGAAGAGCCCCCGATCGGCTTCTTGCAGGCAGCGCAGGCGATGATGGCCGCACGGACGGGGACCTCTGCCTGGTCGACGGACAGGCCGCGGATCCCTGCGGCCGCACCGGAGGCGGCGGCAATGCCAACAGCCTTGTTCGGCGGCGTTCTCTCTCCGCACCACGCAGGGCCGATTCCAGAACAGGGCCTGCCGAGGGACGCTGTGAATCCTTATCAGGCTCCTTTGCCAGCGGACCCTTACATGAGATCTCCGGGCCTTTCCAGAATGGCGGCATCCCCTCCGACGCCGATCGCAGCAGCGGCGGAAGGCATGACACCTGGCGGGCCGAATGGGCCCAAACCAAGGACTCCTTTGAGAAGCCATACGAGGCCGAATCCCTACCCGGTTGGGCCGCCTTTGTCGGACAAGGTGGAGGCAAGGAGGAGTGCCCTCGCTCCTTTTGGCCTCCCGTCGCACGCTATGCCGGAGATTTCAAGTACCGGTCCATCAGAGGCCGGGAGACAGAGCCAGCACACCGGTCTACTGGAGGACGACGACGACGACGAAGATGTAGACCTGACAGGTCTTCTTCGTCCTGCGGTGGAGTGACAAAAGTGAGCCCTTTGGCGGGCGGCGCGGATGAGGACGCAGGACATGGCTGCCTAAGGGACCCGAATGGTGTGGGAGCGAAGGAGTTGATGGGGCTTTTGCTCTTTTCGCTTCCCGCTGTTCTGTTGCCCCCTGGGCCGGCTCTGTTCTGGCACCTCCCGCAGCAGCCTCGTCAGGGCGGCCGAAGTGAGTGTGCTTCTCCGCTGTATATAGGTGAATTGCCTGTACAGAGTGTATCTTTCCGCCTTGTAGTGGACCGGAAATGGGCATTCGGCAGGCCTCTTCAGGCTGATCATGAGGCATGGCGGCGGCAATTTCATCATCTCGGTGTTTGCTACGGCTCGCGACACCAGACACAGCCTAGGACCGATCCTGATCCCCCTCTAGGCTGTTGCCTCATTTTCCCCGGGAGTCTGAGCTGTCTTTTGAGTCAGGAAACAGGCAAACCCGTGCCTGGCGACACACCGTCCCGACTGCCATGGCCACTCCCCCCTAGTTTCGGTTTAGGGCCTCGACCTTCGGTTGCGCTAGGACCCGAACCCCAGCCTGTCAGCCCCACTTCTGGAGGCATCCCTTGGACGGGACACCAAGATGCAAGGAGCATGTGTAGGGCGCCTTTTGTGTCACCGGCCATATCCTTTGCAAGCATTTGGTGGCTGAACCTGGCCGCGTCTATGGCAATCCCTCTGGGCCGCAGCGTTCTGTTATGG